CATATCTACAGATTTTTTCACATCTTGTTTCTATAGATTATAAGCCTCCGAATTCCAAATTTTATATATTGAGCCTTTTTCATATAGATTAGAAGATAAATTATTGATATCAGCATATATGTATGGATAAGTTAATAAATACAATTTACATAAAAACTTAAAAAAACAAACCATGATATATGAAATGAAAAAGTTCCACTTTGGTATAAAGTCATGGCTGTTTCTGTTGAGCTCTAACCTTAAAGACTTACCTTTTATGAATCTCACTTACGACTGGACTATAAACCTGAGAACTTTGCAAGTGAATGTAACAGGGTACAAAATGTAAGACCATTAGAGAACCTAGATTATAGTGCTACAGCACGTTTCAAACTCTATCTTCTCAAATGTTTACAATATTGTTCATAGTGAAGCCATAGCACTGAACGGATTCTTACTATAAATCGAGAAACCTTGCTTCATTTTCTGGAATTCAAACACTTATATTTTCATTCATTGCTTATGAGCTTTCCCGTTTAGAGGTTGACTCTATATCTTGGAGTTCACCACCAGTTTCTTTACGTTTCAAGGATAGATAAATCAGAGAATCGGTCGAGGTGTAGTAGTTTTCTTAAAGTGATGTTGTCACAAGGAAATGTGCTATTTATATTGTAGAAACTCACACAAAAGTCCTCCAAATTTAGAGCTTCATCTTTTCATATTTTGTTTGTAACTAAAAATGGCTATCACTAATCTCTTAGCCACGAGGAACGCCGTCAAATTGGACACAATCAGTTTCTTCTCCTATTTCTCCGGCAAAACAAACCACTTCTTGTCCCGTCGTTTGCCACTTTTGAACCGTAGAGTCCAAGTTACTAGTTGTTGTATTTGAACCACTTCTTGGCTCCTCTTACGAAGACTTCATGAAGAGCAAGTTGATTCCCGTAATTGAAGAGAAGACACCATGGGGATTGAATATGAAATACTGGAGAACAGTAAGTGGGGGGATATTGTACAACATTTGAGGATAGGTGTTACATCTGATTCTTTTTGCTCTGCTTTTGTTTGTCTTGCAAACAAACACTTTGCGTCTAACCCAAGAAAACGGAAAAACAGATACGACTCTGCTTTAAGCGTCAAGTCGCTCTTGGAGAACATTAAGTGGGGGATATTGTACAACGTTTGAGGATAGCTGTTACCTCTGATTCTTTTTTCTCTGCTTTTGTTTGTCTTGCAAACAAACACTTTGCTTCTAACCCAAGAAAACGGAAAAAACAGTTACGACTTTAAGCGTTAAGCCGCTTACTGAAACTTTTTCTCCATATTTCAACTAGTGCAAGTTTATGGTTTGGCCAAAAATGTTTCTTATTTTCTTTTTCTTCTATGTGATAAGAAAGAAGGGGTACACTGCTAGAGGCTCCTCTCCGCGTTGGAGAATAAATAACTGCTGACTTGAGCATGTAATCAGAGGGTTCTCTAGCTTTTTAACTTCTGCGTTGGAGTGTGGCTTTAGATTGGATTGGTTGTTGAAGAAGCTAAATGAAGTGTTGGAAAGCAAGAACAAGGTGGACTCTAGTGAAGCTCGGCTGCAAGAAATGGAGGACGCATTGCAGATATTGAAACACAAATGCGCATCCCAGAAGAGCATCATTGCCTTCAGCTAGTGAGGCTATTGTTGCCATTACTGAAATCACAGCTGCAGAACCTGGAGCTGGAGCGATCAGACATGGAAGCTTTGGTGGAGAAGGAGAAGGTACAAGTGTTGGGTGCCATTCTTCCTTTCTGGCTCAATGATAGTTCTTGGAGTTTGGTTCTACTTGGTAATTGGTCTCTTCGGCTAGTTTTGTGTCAACGTCTTAAACTTTGGAAAGTTCTAGAGACTTTCTAAGTCCTAAGTTTTCACATTCTGGTATGGAGTGATGGTTGAGTGCTCTCTAGCTTTTGGCAACTAATTGTTGAATCAGAGTAATTTTATGACGAAGTAATCCTTGCACTATTAAACCGGGTATTCATTGGTGAAGGAACAGAATACTCTGTCTTTTATTGTCTTACTACATTTTGAACCACGCCAAAGCGTGGGATGAAACGATTGGATAGGTTGACTAATCAATTTTAACATATATAATTTTTAATGTTTAAAAATGTATAACAAAATATATGATTTATAATATTTGTAAACGTACAAAAATGATATATATATGGTGTATAAATGAAATAAAATTGAATATTTTTTTATCAAACATATGTTAGTGCCATCAGTTTTAATACTTTAATTTGTAAATTGATTAAAACATGTGTAAATTTTATTTATTTCAATAGGTTTTAAATGTAAAATTGATCTTTTAGATTTAGGTAATCAATAAATTTAGTTTTATATAAATTTGTCGGACAAAACAAACGAAAAATATATTTTTCAATAATAAAATGTATAAATATTTGTAAATTTGATTTATATATAGTAAAGTACATATCATAATAAAAATATTTATATAGGATACTAATCTAAATACACATATACTAAATATATAATTGTGATCTATATATAATAGCAAACCAAAAAAATGAATATTTTTGGGTTGTGACTTTTCGGGAAAACCGTCTTGTATTTATAGGTTTATGCTAGAGTCGAGGTATTTAAAAAACAAGTGCATTATGGTTATTTGAAGGGTTGCGTCTTCTTAAAAAAACCGTTTTATGGTTATTTGCAAGAATTGCATCTTTTCGTTAAAACCAATTTGTCAAGAGTTGCGTCTTTTCATGGTAACCGTTTTGTCAAAAGTTGTGTCTTTTCATTATAACTGTTTCGTCAAAAGTTGCATCTTTTCAAAAATAACCGCTTTTTGGTTTTCTTTTAGAAATGCATCTTTTCGAAAATGAATATTTTTGGGTTGTGACTTTTTGTAAAAAAACCGTTAAATAGTTAATTTTCTAAGTAACCGCGTTTTAGTTATCGTTAAGAGTTGCGTCTTTCTAAAAAACCGTTTGGCCTATGTATTTATGTTTTAGTTTTTTTTGCCGATTATCATTTTGTTAATTATAGCTATTGGTTTCCATAATTCACTTAACTCATAAGAGAGATAAAACGTCAATTTATTATTTTTAAATTATTTTGAAATATTGTTCATTTTACTATTGATGAAATTCCTAAAATTCTTGATTTGTGTAAAATATTTGGATCTCTTTAAAAAATGCATATATTATTGCGTTTTTGGATTCACTATGATGCTTCGTTATTAACATACAAATTACTTACATATATTTTCTTAAACTACGTTCTTAGAAAAAGCCAATTACCCGAACAGAAACAATGAAAACAAACGCAAATCCAAAAACATAATAAGTGTTACGAAAGGAGACACAAGTGATATTTAGGATCCTTGCAATATTCACCTTTTTAATAAACTAATTAAGAGTAGTAAAATAAACTTACGAGAATAAAGCAAATATGATATGATTTACTGTTTTTGGTGTATGCAACGGTCTTATTTATTGGGTTCCAACATCTCAAAGAGGAAAACAATGGTAAAAAGTCCAGAAAGTCTATGTAACGATTTTGTTTTTTTGGTCAAACAAAGATAATGATAAGAAG